AATTTTTTTTCCCACATTGTAGGTTGTCTCTAAGCTCTATTGGTGGTTTCTCTTGCAGTACAGAAGCTTTTTAAAAAGATGAGATCCCAGTTGTTGATTCTTTGTGCTAGTTCCCGTGCTACTGAAGATTTGTTCAGAAAGTCTTTTCCTATGCCAATGTCTTCAAGACTTCTACCTAACTTATCTTCCAACAAGTTTAGTGTTTCTGTTTTAATATTTAGATCTTTAATCCATTTGGATTTTAATGTAGTGCATGGTGAAAGATAGTCTTTGGCAAGTTGAAATCCAGTTTTTCTAACACAGTTTATTAAAGAGGCTATCTTTCCTCCAGTGAGGATGGCTGGCTCCTTTGTCAAAGATGAGGTAGCTGAGCATGTCTGGAGTTGTTTGTGCATCTTCTAATCTATTCAATGATCCTGGGGTCTGTTACTTTGCTAGTACCATGCTATTTTTATCATAGTGGCTTTGTAATATAGTTTCAAGTTGATATTATGATACCTGCTGCCATGTCTCTATTGCCTAGAATTGCTTTTGCTATTCTGGTTCCAAATGAATATTTGGATTGTTTTCTCTAGTTCAGTGAAATATACTGTTGGGTTTTCAACCAGGATTGCATTGAATCTGTATAGCAGTTTTAGAAGTATGGCCATTTTCACTATATTGATTCTTCCTACCCAGGAATAAGGGACATCTTTCCATTTTTTATATCCTCTTTGATCTCTTTTTTTTCAGTGTTGTAGTTCTCAATGTGTTTCGCTTCCTTCATTACATTGATTCCTACATATTTCATTTTTTTCATATTTCATATTTTGGATGCTATTATGAAAGGGATTGTTTTTCTATAATTTCTCTCTCAGTGATTCTGTTATTTGTGTACAAGAAGGCTATTGATTTTTGATTGTTGACCTTGTATCCTCCAACTCTACTGAGAGTGTCAGTTAAGTCTAGAAGTCTTTTGGTGGAGTTTTTTGGGTCTTCTATGTAGAGTATCATATCAGCAAATAATGACAGTTTAATTTCTTCCTTTCCTATCTTTATTGCTTTTATTTCTTTCTCTTGTCTAATTGCTGTGGTTAATGTATCCAAAACTAAATATTGAACAGGAGTGGTGACAGTGGACATCCTTGTCTTGTTCCTGATTTTAGTGTGAAGGTTTTCAGTTTTTGAGGATTTAGTATGATATTGACTGTTGGTTTTTCATAGATAGCCTTTATCAAGTTGAGGTAAAGATTGTGTATTCCAATTTTCTGCAGGGTTTTTATCATGAATGGGTGTTGAATTTTGTTGGTTGCTTTTTCTGCATCTGTTGAGATGATCATATGGTTTTTGTCTGTTAATATAGTATATTACATTTATTGATTTATGTATGTTGAACCATCCTTGCATCCCCGGGATAAATCCAATTTGGTCAGGGTGTATGACCTTCTTGATGACCCTCTATATTCTATTTGCCAGTATCTTATTGAGGATTTTTGCATCTATGTTCATTAGTGATATTGGCCTATAGTTCTCTTTGTTGGTTGGATCTTTCCCTGGTTTTGGAATCAAAGTAACACTTACTTCTAGAAATGAATTTGGAAAATTTCACTGAAAAGTTTCAAAAGTAATGTCAGTAGTTCTTCTCTAAATATTTTGTAGAATTCAGCAGTGAAGCCATCACAATTTGGGCTTTTCTTTGTTGTAAATTTTTAATTACATTTTCAATTTCACTGATTGTAATTGGGGTGTTTAGAATTTTTGTATCTTCTTCAACTTCGGTAATTCATATGTATCTAGAAATCTGTCCAATTCTGTATTTTCCATTTTATTAGAGTACAGGTTCTCGATAATAGGTATTGATGATCCTCTGGATTTCTGTTGGATCTGTTTTGACTTTACCTTTTTTGTTCCTAATTGTATGGATCTAAGCGTTTTCTTTCCTTGTTTTGATAAGGTTGGTTAAGGGTTTATCCATTTTATTTTTTCTTTCAAAAAACCAACTCTGATTCGTTAATTTTTTTTTTTTTTGGTATTTTTCCTCTTAGTCTCAATTGCATTGATTTCTGCTCTGATCTTTATAATTTCCTCTCTTGTATGAGCTTTGTGTTTGTCTTGCTCTTTTTCTAGAAGCTTAAGGTTTAGCATTAGGTTGTTTATTTGAACTCACTGCTTTTCTAGTGTGGGCATTCACTACTTTAAATTTACCTCATAGAACTGCTTTCATTGTGTCCCATAGATTCCTGTGTGTTGTATTGGCATTATCATTAAATTGTAAAAACTATCTAATTTCTTCTTTAATTTCCTCTGTGACCCATTGGTTGTTTAGGAGAGTGTTATTCAATTTCCATGTGTTAGTGAAATTCTTGAGATTTCTTTTGCTATTGATCTACAGTTTAATTGCACTGTAGTCTGATAATATATGTACATGGGATAACTTCAACTCCTTTGCATTTCCTTAAACATATTCTATGAGCTAGTATGTGGTCTACTTTGGAGAATGATCTGTGGGCAGCCAAAAAGAATGTATATTCTGATTTTGTGGGGTGGAACATTCTATAGATGTCTATTAAGTCCATTTGTTCAAAAGCTTTGTTCAGTTGTAGTATTTTGTTGTTGATTTTTTTGTCTAGAATATCTATTTGTGACAGTGATTTTTTTTTTTTTTTTTTAAGACAAGGCCTTACTATGTAGTTCAGGCTGGCCTGAACTTACAGCAATCCTCCTGTCTCAGCCTCCCGAGTGCTGGCCCTAGAGGAGTTTGCCACCTTACCTAGCTTGCTTTTCTTCTTTTTAAGGAGATGATACCACATAAAAAGCCCTGTAGTATTTTAAATTTAATAAGTAGATTCCAAAATCCACAGGAAAAACTATAATAATCTTGGGGTAAGCCTTTCCAATCAGATGTCAAAATATGTTACAGAACTATAAAAATAGAATGGCTTGGTTTAGCTAGGATAAGAGAATAAATAATAATAATAATGAATAATTTAATGGAAGACAGTCGTCTCAAAATGGACTGTTTTCAAATATAAAAGTTATATAATAGCTCATACTTGTGCCTGTAAGTCTTAGGCACAGATTTTTTTTTCTCCTTAATTTTTAAAAATGTGTGCCGCATTTTTTTTAAGTATGACTTTTTAGTTTCGTGAAACTGTGGGATTGTTATTTTTCTACAAGTCTTATAATGGAAAGAGATGAAAATAAAATTTATTATAAAGAACTCGATGGTGTCAGGAACGTTTTATATTCAACAGAGAGAAGGGTTGAGGATATAGCTCAGTGGTAGAGCACTTGCCTAATGTGTAGGAGCCTCTAGGTTGGATCCCAAGCACAACAAAAAACAAAAAAAGAGGCTTCCTGGTCCTCTTTGTGTACCTCAGATAGAGTGTGCTTAGCATGTGTAAGGCCTGGGCTTCAAACCCCAGGGTAAGAAAGGGAGTGAGGGAAGCTTGGCTTACCTAATTAAAGCTCTGATAGGAGACCAAATTGTTGAAAGATTACAGGCTTAGGCTCCAGTATGAGGCAGACCAGGTTCTGTTTACTTTTTTTTTTTTTTTTGGTACTAGAGATTGAATTCAGGTTCTTGGCCTGTGAGGCAGGCAGCAGCACCACTGAGTTAAATCCCTGGCCCACTGGTGATATATTTTTGAGCTGGTGACTCTAAACCTGTTTCTTCATTCATAAACGTGGATAACACCTTCTTGGTGATTTTCAGAGATGAAAGAAAGTCATGCATGATAAACATTTAGCACTGTCCCTGCCCATAAGTGTTACCTATGGTTATACTTTGTATGAGAAAGGCCTTCACAAGCACTGTGAAAGGTTTCTGTTTTGAATTCTCAGATAGGAACTAGTTAAGAAGATTTTAGATACTTGAATTTTTCAAATCAGTTTTATGGTTTTCTTGAGGCAAGCAATTCTTCCCTTAGAAAATAGACTTACAGTTTAAGAACTTTTGATTATTCACTGAAAGAATAAAAGAACATCAGTACCAATTCCAGCTGCCCTTCTCTTATTTATAGGGAGAATTTGACCACGTTACTTGCTACAGGGAAGTTTATTTTTGTGGAAAGTATGAGAAGAATAAATGAGTTTGAATTTCAATGGAAGAGAATTAGGTTAGATGTAAGAACAACTTTCTGACCACAAGGCTGCCAAGCAGGTTAGAGAGACTCCTTTGTCACCGCCAGGAGATTGTGACAGAGGAACCCTCATTTTGGCTTCCTGAAGCTATTTCAGGGCTTCTTGAACCCATGTAAACGCACCACAGAGCAGGACTTTACCCCAGCTCCCTGCTGATGGTGTCTTTGCTAGGGTTTTGGCTGTCTTTGATGTTCGTTAATCTTGCTCATGCAGGAAAGTGTTCTGATACTTTTCTCTGTGTAGGTGAGGACAGGATAATATAGACAGTACATATTTTAAAAACCTGAAATGATTGCAGAAATTTCAGATAGAGATTATAAAAGTCTTTTAAAAGTTTTTAGAGTTGTTTGTGTAAGATGAGAGGTTGGGTGGGAGGAGGATTAACCTAACCTTGTTGAAGGGTAAAATAAGTTGATTCTTTGACATTTCTTTAAAATCAAGAATTACACAGACATTTAAGATGTACCAAGAGTAAATAAGATGACCATGCTAGAAGAGACCAGTGACTCTGGAGTTGCTTTTAGGAATCCACAGGTTTATTTTTGACCTTAGCTTTGTTGAGTGAGTAATTCTGCTCATAAAAAGTGGTCATGGAAGTCAGGATAGTAGCTCTGGAGTTGGCAGAGGTATGGTTCAAATCCCAGTTTTGCACCTTTTTGGTTAAAAGGCATCTGACAAATAACTTCCTCCTTTGCAAAATAGAGAAATAGTTTCTACCTTGTGGTTATTGTGAAGAGTGAGATAATGCACACAGTACTGTCTTGCGCAGAGAAGGTGCTTAATAGATGGTAGTGATGATAAGAACAATGATATATTCTTTGCTTCTCTCTTTCCTTCTTTTCTCCTTCCCTGCCTTTTTTTGATAGTGCTAGAAGTCAAACCCAGAGCCTTGCAGAAAGTACCATGTGCTCTCCTGCTGAGCTATTCCCAAGCCTCAAGGATGATAATGACAGTGATAAGGATGATACCTAACTGATCTTCGGAGAATGATCATGTGAGCTGGAATTTTTCCTGTTGAAGACAAAATTGCCATTATTTAAAAGATTTTCTTGTGTCTTGGCCAAAATAGCAAATAGCAAAGTTTTTAATGTCACATCTAAAGAACAGAGACTCTTGCTTTGAAAACCAATCTTTCTTGGAGACAAAGCTTCTTCCTACTTACATTTTCAACCTTTGAGTTGTGTGGCAGTAGTTGTTTTGATTTGATTGGTGTATAGGAAAGTGGCTGTTCCAATTAATAATTATAATTCCTGCATGAGATAAAACAATGTTTTTTAAAGTTGTATAAATTGTAGTTACTTATAAATATTGGCATTATGGTATGATTTCAGATATTGAAGATGGGCTGTTATAGTTTCATTGTCCAAATATGGTCTTATATCTTAAGAGTTTTTAATTGAATTTTTTAGTAGAAAAGTGGACAAAAGACTTAGGCAGGCTTATAAAAAATATTTAAAATCAGAAAAATATGCTTAACTAATTTTAGTCTAAGAAATATATGTTAAACTAAGATTTTTATTTTGTAGTGGTATTGGGGATCAGACCGGGTCCTCACATGTGATAGGCAAAGATACTCTTTCTAACTTATCAGACTGGCAGAATTTTAAGACAGTTCATAATGTTGGCTTTCTTTTATTGCTATGAATGGGCAGTTGGTACAGGGAGAGAAATCTTAACACTGTGAATCAAAATTTTAAGGGAGGGGGCAGGGATTTAGCTCAGTGGTTCTGCCACCTGCCTTGCAAGCCACCTGGCTTGCAAGCGCAAGGTCCCAAGTTTGATCCCTGCTAACAAAACAGAACAAAACAAAATTTTAAGTGTGACTGTCCTTTGACTTAGCAGTTGCACATATGGAAGAATATAATAAGGAAATAAGAGAAAGAATGTAGTTTGTGATCCAGTATGTTCACTGTGGCATTGCTAAAAATATCCCCAAATGGAAACCATCTGGACATCTGTCTGTTCATAGACACTGTTTTAAAATAGTGGCACTATAGAATGTATAGTATGATACAATGGCTTAGTTTTAAAGGAACTTGAGTTGAGATCCTGGTGCTACCACATCTTGTTGTATCATCTTGGACAAGTAACTTAATGCATTAGCTGCACTTTGCTTTTCCCTGAGTGGTAATAACAATGGTGTAATGCTTTCTGAGTTAGTATGACTACTAAGTGAGGTGATACATGTAAAGCATAGTGTCTGGTGCAAAACAACTCATACGGATTAGAAAATATTACTACTATGTGCTCTTTAAAAAGAGTACAATGGATCTATTCGTACTAATATCAGTGTAAATTGGAATGGAAAAAGCAAGTTACAAAACAGTTTGTATAAAATCATCAATATTGGCCGGGGATTTAGCTCAGCGGTTCAGTGGCCTGCCTTGCAAGCGCAAGGACCCGAGTTCAATCCCCGGTACCAAAAAATCATCAATATTAAACTGTATGCATTATAGTTTTGGAAGGATGTAGTGACAGTTAACGTTTAATAAGCACTTGACTGAATCTCAGGCACTATTCTGAGTGCTTTAACACATCAGTTATTTTTTTAAAACTTAAGTTAATATATTTTCAGTACTTGGATCAATACCTGTACTTTGTAAAGGACTCTAAACAATAGTTGTTAATTTTCACATGATGTTTTTAATCTCTGTTTTGTAAATGAAGGAGAGTTCTCATGGTTCATAAGTGGTAGAGCCAGAATTTAAGTCCAGGCAGTCTAGCTCAGCCTGTCTTACACAGCATTTAAAACTGGATGTCATGGGAGATAGGATTGTGAGGTCACTTTCACTTTGCAGTGTATTACTTCTGAATATTTTCACATTTTTACATGAAGTATTTTACATTAATATGTGGGAAAAAGCTTCCAATTTGGAAGGAACACAAATGCATTTTTAGGTTTTAGAAAACTTTCCCCTCTGTTAACAATATCTGTGGCAATTCCAGAGATGTGTATGTAAGTACATTTACATTTTCCCTTATCCCCAGGTAACCTGGTGAAGAAGATTTTGAGAACCTCATGTTGGGGCACATTTTTATAAGGAAGTAATTATAGAGAGAGGTAGGGGCCCAAGCTAAATCTAAATCTACGTCACTTAGTGGTAACCAGCATTTGTAATTGAAATCCTCATAGCTTTCAAGAAACCTGTAGCCATAATGTTTTGGTTCTAGAAAGCTTAAGGGCAGAAGTATTCTTTGGTCATCTGAACAAAGTAAGCAGAAACTATAGTTACACATAATCTAGAAAAGTAGTGACTTAGTGTTCAATGTGGACATCTGCATTAGAGCTTGTAGCACAGAGCCTAGACCTTGGCCCTGAGTGTCTGTGTCTGCAGGGATTATTTGCTGGGGTTGCCCTGGCACTGTGCGCTCTCCATGTAGAGTGGGAGCGGAGTTGCCTGTTCCAGTCGGGCTTTTTTATCAGATACCCTAGTATCTGGGAGCCTCACTTATATAAAATGAAGAAGGTGGGCTATATAGTGTAGTCTATGTCCCTTAATGATGAGTTAGAGATTTGCTATATCACTCAACAGCAACTAACTTCTGTAATCAAAATTGCATTCAAGTTCTGTGATTTTAATAGTCTTGCCTTGTAGTACCATCTTAGATCGTAGTAGTCTAGAAACATCCCAAATAGAACTGCAATCATAAATTGACTCATGGGAGGTTTGTTAAGAGTGTGTAGTTGAATTATATAGGATGACAGCCAGCTGTGCAATTTACTTTTTATTTCATTTTAGGTATTTTTTCTTCCTGTATTTGTTTTCCAAATAATCCAGAATTGTGTTCTAAAGATCACAAATCAACAAAATGGTAAGGTCCTATTCATAATTGTTCTTTAACACTTAATTTTTTAAATTTTAAAGTTTGTTTTAGTGTTCTGATGTCTTAATTAGGTGGGCTTTCTAGAGTTTCTCAGGATTGTGGAAGTCAAATGGTCTGTGTGCTTGACACAGATTTGAGACCAATGAGTCACATGGTCTATCTGCTTTTAGTCAGGAATAGTTTTCTTTGGTCATTTGTGATAGTCAAAAGTGAGCTTAACTAAAAAAAAGGAATAAAAGCTGCTTGTACAGGAAGCCCTAAAAAAAAAAAAAGGGGAGCTTAAATGACACTACGTAACTAAAAGTAACTCATAGATATTTAGGTCTTAAAACAATAAGCTTGATGATAATTATGTTCTAATTTTAGTCTTAGCTAATTTTTGCCCTTTAAAAAAGATTGCTGCTAAAAAAAAAAAAAGATTGCTGCTTTTGGCTTTTAAGTTCTTAAATTGGCCTGATATCTTAGAGATAGTCTTTTCTTGAAAATGACTAACAAGCAAATTAAGTAATTTTAATATGAAAATGAACAAATATTAAGGAATTGGTACAATTGAGAAATAGACAAGTTTCTTGTTATTAATTGATGTAGAAACTTTGACTGTTTTATATGAAAGGAAAATTAAAATATTGTATGTATTTGACATTAGTGTTGTATGTTTACTTGAGAAATATTTTACATCTTCTTTGCACTCTGTTTTCAGTTTTCATTTTGTTTGCAGTTGTCTGTGTGTCTCTGTCATTTCTAGTAGAAGTTTACTTTTGACAAAATGAAAAGTGTTCAAAATCTCCCAATCCTCTTAATGTATGATTCATCCCTCCAGGCCACCCCCAGACTAGGATGCTGCATTCCTCCTCCCTCCCTATTAGCAGGATGTCACACTACCTAACCAGCTGTGGTTTTCCTGCCTCTGCCATTCATTGGTTGGTGTCTGATCACACAAATCTTCACCTTCTAGCACAAAACCTGCAATTTGGGCTGTACTCGTATTTTGAATCAAGCCACTGTTTGCCTTAAAACAAGCAGGAGGGGTCAAGGGGATTGGGCCTCTTTAAATCTATTGCACTTCTTTTCTTTCTCCTCTTGCCATGTTTGGGAGAAGGATTCCCCTTGTTTGTTTGTATTTATTTAATCTATTTATTTATTTATTTTTGAGAGTAGGAAAAATTTATTGAGGGAAAGAAAGCTTCTAAGAGAGTTAGAAAGGGGACCGGATTCCCCTTCTTTTAAACAAGGCTTGAAAGTGATTGAACCTAGATTCATGTTGCCATACTTTCTGGTTTAATAGGGGCCTTTTAAGTCACTTGTAGAAAAGCTACTTGAAGTGATTATGGTGTAACCTCTTATAAATATCATTGGTACAGGTCATTACAAAATTGTTGCACTAAGAAGTCTAAGATATTGATTGAAACACTTTCTTTAAAATTATCTTCCTTAGTCTTATTTGTCTATAGTTTTGTTCTGTAACATCTAGTGTGTTTTTTTTTTTTTTTTTTTTTTTTTTTTTTTTTTTTGCCATTCCTCAGAAGCTTCCACTCATCCAGAGCTAAGAATTTGGTTCAGAGGGAAAAATCCAAATATAATGATAAGTATAACCAAGTAAAGAAAACCACTCTGTGTGCTGAAAAGTACAAGTTGATTCCCTTTTACCATCTCTACCTGCTACCCTCACTCGCCACTCTTAAATACTTTGTTTTAATTCTAAAAATGATTGTTTTTTCATTATAGAAAAATTGGAAAATCTAAAAAGTGATCAGTGACAACATTTAAATCATAATTTCCCAGTATTTTCCTTCCATAATTTTCCCTCTCCTTTTTAAAATATAATTGAGTTCATATTGTACCTGAAGATAGAATTTTGTATCCTGTTTATTTAGGTAATATTATTTCTTACGTTGTTAAAATTTTTTGGGAAAATTTTCTTCAGCAGTCTTTCTGTGGTATTTTATGCTGTCATCCTTCTATGAGTCATTTTACCTAAAGTGGTTTGAAAACTTAAAAATCCCTTTATTTATTTAAAACCCTTTAAATTAAAAAAAAAAACTATTCAAATCTTTGTGGCAATTTTGTTTATTTCCTTGGGATAGACTCCTAAAGGTGAAGTTATTATTTCAAAGCATAAAACATTTTACAGTTTTTTAATATAGATTGGCATTTTTCCAGCCAGAAGGGTTTCATTCCTCTCAGTTAACACACGGACCAAAAGGCATGTGTCTCTGGCAGTCTGGACTTCACCAAGTGCACTTTCCCCCCTAAGCTGTGGCTATGTTGATATAGGGATCATAGTATAGTTTTTAAAGTTTCTATATCTTTGATTTACTAGTAAATTTGAACATTTTTCACATTTTATTTTTGGTACTAGGGATCAAACTCAGGACCCCACGCTTGCAAGGCAGGTGCTGGAATCACTGGGCTAAATCACCAGCCCCATTTTTCACATTTTAAAAATTATTTTTATGTTATTCATTTATTGCAGTCTTTTGTTTCTTTACAACTTTAATACTTCAAAAGCTGTGTATGAGCTCTCTCTCTCTCTCTCTCTCTCTCTATATATATATATATATATGTTTTGTTTTGAATTCAGATTTTTAAATACATGTATGTAACGGACACTTTTTAATGTTTTTCCCAAAATTATTGGCTTTGACTCTTGTTTGATATATATAGTATATTCCTAATTTTTGTGATACTTTACTATTCATTGTGATGATTTCAAGAAAGTCTTAACTTTTTGAAGTTTAATTTCTCTTTCTCCCTCCCTCCATCTTTATGTTCATTCCTTTTAATTCTTTGGAATTTATTTTACCTTATGGAGTGAAGTGAACATTTGACTTGATTGTTTTTCCCCAAGTAGATGCTCTGTCATTTCAGCACCATTAATTTAATAATTCTTCCCTTCCATAATTTATGATTAAGTTTTCTCATAAAAAGTCACCACTTTTTAAAATCAAGGTTATTCTTACATAGTTTTGGAATGTTGTTCTTCATCTCCTCTTCCATGCTGCTTTTGTGAACAGGATTATTTTTCCATTTTAAGTGTTTACTATTTTAAACTGTAAATTTAAAATTTTACTCTACTTAAAATAATTTTTCATTTCCACTGAACTTATTCTTTATGACAAAAATGAAAAATATAGAAGAAAACTCTGTGTGTTGGGATATTGAAGTTGCAGAAAGCATGACTTAGCTAACAAGCCAAAGGGAAGGATAGTTCTCACTCATGCAAGCCCTCTTCAAGGCCATAGGTTAAATCTGGTAGCTGAGAAGTCTCTGAATCAGTGTAATATGCCACCCCCATGCTTTTTTATTTTCTAAAAGTTTCCCATGGCTATTAAAATCATGTGTATAAAATTCTAGATTATATATATACCATTTATATTTATAGTCTCTTAATTTATGCTTTTTTTCCTGGTTGTTTTGTTTCTACCTATGAATAATTCTTCCTTACAGAAAACAGTAGAATACTCACTCTGGACCCTGCTGTCCATCCCATTGCCTTACCTCCGCACCCTGTGCCCTCCACTCACATTCTTGCAAAAATTGTGATTTTTCTTCTTTTAGCCTAATCAAAGCATGTTTTGGTGTGTACTCACATGTACACCAATAAACAGTGATTTAAACTATTTTAGGGATGTGTCTCTGCTATCTAAAAGTTAATACTGGTTTTTTTCTTATTGCAGTACCAAATTACAAATATTTGAAGTTATTTGGCATTTCACATGAAGTAGTTTATTTTTTTCATTGAACATGATTTTGTAAATTCAGCTGAGAATCTTTTGCATACAGATTCTATGCATTACTAGGTAGGAATACAATGATGGAACAATTCAGTTCTACATGTATTGTAAGAATAGGCAGCTGCTTTCTGAATATTTTTGAGATACAAGAGGTGATACTTTTGTTTTTTGGGACAGGGTCTCACTATGCAGTTGAGACTGACCTGGAACTCACTATGTAGCTCAGGCTGGTCGCGAACTCACAGCGATCCTCCTGCCTCAGCCTCCCGAGTGCTGGGATTACAGGCGTGCGCCACCACGCCCCGCCCCAAGAGGTGATACTTTAGCTAAACATGAAGATCTATATGAGCTCAGAATATAGCCATATGGTGGGGCACTTGCCTAGCTTGCCCATGTCCAGGGTTTAGTCTCTAGTGCCAAAAATACAAAATATAGCAACAAGACAAAACAGAAAAAAATTATACAGAGGCCAGATTTTAGATAAAAATTTTAACCCTTTGGTGAATATATTTTAGTTTAATTGTATACATTTAGTTCATACATACTTTTCCCATTGTAAGTTTAAAAACCTAAAGTTCAGAATCAACATAATCAGATAATCTTCCACTAATAGTTATTACTAAAGCCAGATAAACCTTTGAGAACTCAACCATTGAGCCATAAGATCTATTTCTAGGTGGGTGTGGTGACCCATGCATTCAGGAGGCAGAGGAAGAAGGCCAACCTGGGCTAAATAGTGAGTTCAAAGCCAACTTGAACTATAAGTGAGACCCTGTCTTTAAAAAAATAAAAAAGCAAGGGCCAGGGACATAGCTCAGTGGTGCAGTGCCTACCTGGCATGACTGAGGCCCTAAATTTGATTCCAAGTTACCCCTCCCCGCCAAAAACCCCCCAGAACAATAAAAAACAAACCCAAGTAAACCCCACAAAAATTCCATTTCTAAAATAGTTTTGAAAATCAAAATGATAGTAACTATGATACCACTGTGCTATTACATATTTAGGGGGAGAAGCAAGTGTCTTTCTGTGAAATTTGTTCTTCTGGGTTGGTGAACAGGATATAGACCGAATAGGACCATGTTAACTGAAAACAAAAGCAGAATTTCTAATAGATTATAAATAAATTGGATATGTGTTACCTTGTGACAGTCATTTCATTTTAAGTCTAAGAGATGTAAAGGATATCCACTAGAGACTAAATTTATAACTGGTTTACTTAGGACAGCGGCCCAAGGCAGTATGAATAAGAAGATT